CAACAACAGCAACAACAACAACAACAACAACAGCAACAACAACAACAGCAACAACAACAACAACAACAACAACAACAACAGTGGACGATCATGAGTCGTACATGTTGATGGCTGTTGTCATGTGGGTCATGACCAGTGTTTCTGGCCTGCAGTCATTCAGACCAGTCACTGTGGAGCTCGTTGGGACTGGGATGATGGTGGTGGTCTTCAGGCAGGTGGAACTGTCTCCAGGGTGAGTGAGGAGTTAAAGATGTCAACCAGCACCTCGCAGGAGCAAATATTTCTGCTTTGTGACGTTAATGTTTTTAGTTTTCGACATGACTTTACAATCTAGATGTTTTTAAGACCGTTTCTTTCATTTGTTCTTCTCAATCTAGAACTTTCTTTATGGTTGTCCCCTGTTGTTCATCAGGTCTCCTCCGAGGCTCAGTGGGACAAGCTGCTCAAACAAAGGTTGAATGAAGACATGTTCAACTGCAACATGTAGGTTGTGGGTCAGACTCAGCTCGGTTCTGGTTCTGGGCTCCTCTCAAGAACCCGCCACCTCTAAATGTCCACATCATTTTGTTCTTGAGAAAAACCGGACTCTCTCTTCACTGACTCACTGGACCGGTTCGGTTCTGACGGTCACCTACCGGATCCTGCAGCTCGATCTGGGTCAGGTGAAGCAGGTCTGCGGCTCACAGATCCATCTGGTTCAGGAAATGGACCGAACCGACGTTAACCTTCACGTTTCCTTTCTGAACCCCACAAGGCGCATGCGCAGACTGCCGTTCTTCTTCGTTAGCAGCTCGACCAGTCTCAGAGCGCCGCTGCTGCCCCCTGCTGGACACTCTGCGCCCTACATCTCACACTACATGCAGGGTACAGATTACAATAAACTACAATAAAATGCAATTAAAATAAAAGTAGAGTTATAAAACACGTTGTTCTTTCTTCTTTCAGCTGCTAACTACTTCAGGCGTCGCCACAGCAATCTAAGTTGCACAAAGACTTGGCAGTTATTTTGCCGCCAGACGCTCTTCCTGACACAACCACAGACTCTGAGCTACCACAGCCCTGTGTGTGGAGCGGGGGCTGACGTCAGGGTGTCCAGGGGAGCAGATGGGATTGAGGGCCTTGCTCCACACTGTGACAAATGATGGAGGCAGGTGTGGGTGCTTTACATTTACCACCTACATCAAAATGTGGGTGGGAACAAACAAAACAAGGTAAAATACTAAAAACAAGAACATATTTGCTTTGATATCCTGATGCATGCTCAATAATCCAGGTAGAAAAATCTAAAAAAATTCAATCTGGTCCTCTGGACATTCAAAAAAACCCAAAACAAAGCAAAACAACAAAAAATGTAGAAACGTTTTGTCTCTCATCCTGAGGACTTCCTCAGTCTGAGGTGCTGTATTCAGCTCAGTCTCTTAAATAGCACCTTCTCAGAGTGGATCAACCAGTTTGCTGCTGACAACCAGAACCAGCTGATCACATGCTCAAGAAGGACCATCAGCCTAACAATGGATCATTAGCACCTGATGGCTGTTTACTGTTCACAGAGGGCTGAGTGATACTAGCAATCACAGCATTGTAAGAGGGGGACAGTTGAACCTGGAGGCTCCGCCCCTGTTTAATGATGGACGGTTTCTTTTCACAAAGATGGCCTCCTT